TCGGCTAGTTTGCCGTGCCTTTCGGGGACTCCTTACACAAGACGCTTGCTCCCTGGCTTAGCTTGTGCAGAACGTAGGGGCGTCAGTTCATTCATGTGGGTGGTTGTCCAAATTATGGTCCCTTTTTGGGTACCCTAAATATTAGGTGCGGTATTATTATAGGGACCCAAAAAGGGACCATAATTTTGACATCCACCCATGTCTTAGTTTGATCCTATCCTCGCGTATCGCTAGTATATCTTCAAACAACCATGCGCGCGACCTTCAGGTTTGATAAGCTGGCAAAGCAATTGCAACTCCTTGGGGCTGTTCATCTCGAGATCTGCACTGACTGCCCACTGGATGGTGTTGTAACGATTTGGGGGGTTTAGGGTTTAGGGGCTCGGGATGGTGGCTTGATACGTTTATCTGAGTTCGCCTGCAATCAGCTTCTGCCACCCTTGCCTAGAATTGTAGAGGTTGCCCTTATCACAGGTCGGGTCAGATGTCCAACAGTATCAGCCACTGATGTTGACAAAAGCCCAAAGCCTAACACAAGCCATCATAAGCCCTAAACTGTAACTACTCGGCGATATTTGTAACGTTCCCAAAATACAGGGACCCCAATATAGACCCCACAATGCTTAATATAGGGACCCCCAAAATGGTACCCGGTACCCTTAATTTTTGGAATACACCATTTTTAACAAGGGTACTACCCCAAACAGGTCGAAAACTGGCTCCAAAACTCAAACCTGAAAGTCCTCACCATGCTTTTATGGGGCTTGATTTTCTAGACAAGACGTGAGTGTAAGGAGCAGGAATACGGGCATGTAGGGGCGAATGGTTCTAACTTGCAACATCCTAAACTAAACTCTAGGTAGTACAGTTTAAATGCAAAAACTTTCCACGTCCTAAACTCTAGGCCTTAAAGAAGTCGCAGGAGTGCATCAACGCTTCGCAAGAGATGAGCTTGGCCGAAGGGCTCAGGTCGCCGAACCTCTAGCCCAAGGGGTCCCGGCACCTATTCGATGTACTTGGACCTGTTGGACTTACATGGGAACTCCCTTGTAGCCCCAGGCATGTACCAGATACCTGCATGGACCCTCAGAGTACCTTAGTATGGGCGTGAGGTAGGTTTCAACTGGTTTTGTAGGTTTTGTGCCTTATAGGGGCTAGGGATCCTGGGGTTCACAATTGTAAAAGTGAAGTTGGAAGGTTTAATGTGGAGTTTCAGGGCGTTCAAATTTTCAAGCATTCCATATTTCTGAACAGAGAGCCTCCCAAATGGCCCTATGTGTGTGTGGGCTACAGAACGGCGGGTCCGATCCCAATCTATGTTGAAACTATTTGTTCTTGCAGGGATTAGTAGCTGTACTATGATGCTCATTATTTTTCAATGTGACAACCCTAAAACCTAAACCCAATATTACCAGGTGATATCTCGCGTGCAAGAGCAACGCAGGGGGTGTTGTAACCTCGGAATCATGTGAGGATTATAATAGAGAAGGTGGTCATGGGGCTTTCTCAAAATTAGCACGGGGCTTAGGGCTTAGGGTCCCCGTAATGAGGGCTATAGCATTTTGGGGTTTTGTTTTGGGGTTCCCCACACAAGATGGAAACTGCGACTTTCATTATTGCGGGACTGGTGGAGGGTTTAGCTGTGTCGTAGGCTTGCACATGCAGCCTGGAAAGTCGCTCGCCCGCCATGGTGCTTGGCTCTGCTGGCACAGCTTAGCCAAGCGGCGTTGTAGGTAGAGGCCAGCAAAGTGTGGCCAAGATAGTCTTTGAGTTTTACCCTAACCCTAAACTGTTTTCAATATTACTTGGGTTAGGCCCCTCCAATCCAGCAATCGTGGTATCATGGGAAGAGGCACCAAGATTATCTGCATCAGGCTAACTAGAAGTGTTACCATGCTCACGCCTGAGCCTCCCACCAGTAACTCGGAGCCCTGAACCTAAACCCTCTCAACCCTAAACCCTAAGCCCAAAACACCAAAAACCCAAAAGCGCGCCAACCCTGACCCTAAAGCCCGCTCCGGTTGTTGGGTCGCATGTCCGATGACGGCAGCGTGTGGTCTTTGACGCGATTGTGCTTGGGACGTATGGGGTCTAGGGATGTAAGGGTCAAGGGTTTGGGGGTTGAGGGTTTAGGGGTTGAGTGTTTGGGGGTTTAGGTGTTGAGGGTTTGGGGGTTTAGGGGTGTAGCGTGTGAGGATTTAGGGATTTAAGGGTTCACGGTTTAGGGGCTTAGGGTTCTCATGGTTTGGGCTCTAGGGTGATAGAACTGTTATTCCCAAACAGCCACTTCTTGTAGATCAGGTTGCCCGCCTAGGAAGTGGTTTGCTTTGGGGACAACCATTTGAGCTATAGTCTAAACTTCTTAAAGGGGGGTATATAGGGGATTCTTTAGGGGATTATTCCAGGGGATATTCAGGGTGATACTAGGAGTTTCGATTATAGCTCATTCGATTTCTGGCTGTGTGGTTTCCCGGGCATGCCCTCTGGCAATCACAAATGGGAATTCTACGTGGTGCCAGATTTGTTCCATCCGCCGTTTGCCCTAAACCCTAAACCCTAAACAGGATAGCTCTAGGGTCCCTTATGACATGTTGGGGATTCTACGGGAGACTCATGGGTAGTTCCCAAATTTAGGGTCCCATGTTGGTACCCCTAAATATTAGGTGCAGCAATATAATCTACCTGGAGGGTTTGCTGGAATCCCAGCTATTTGCGGCACAGATTTTGCGGCGTACCTTGCTTTCTATCACCTACAGTCCGGCTTAAGTAGATAGAATATGGGGTAATGGTACCGGGTAATGGGGATCTTACTATAGTATACCCAAAGCCATATTCTGTCTAGTTAAGGGGGACTATAGGCCAGGAGTTCCTTTGCTCAGTATCTGGGCTTCCAGAGATCCTTGTCGGGGCGTACGGTTCAAGGTATTGTGGTTTTCACATGTCTGGGAAGACAACGCCGGGTTTGCAGGCAAGTATAATAAGGCCTGAGCCCTAAACCTGGCCTTGGTGGTCGTTAAAAGCTGCAAGGCCCATACCAAGCACAACGACCTGAAACCTGACATAGAACGTCGTAATCTGCAGCAATTGGAGGCGAAACCTATGTATACATACGTACACACACACACATATATATATATATATTATGTATATGCGGGAGTGTCTCACTCACATGTTATACTTATTATGTGGCAATTATGCGGACCTTTATAATCCTATCATGACCTCTCTAAATCCTTTTGTCACTAGGGGTCCTGCATGCTGAGAACCTCCACAGCATAGATATAGATGGGCATACACACAACTACGCGGGTGCATATGTAGTTCAGAGCACAGTCCGAAAGACTCAGACTGGTATGGAGAGCAGTGCCAACCCAAAATCTCCCAAAGAGCGGTTTCTTCGTGCAGTTCACTCGTCGTGTTCCTTGCTCCTACGTAGGGCTGGCAGGGCTGAAGCCGTTTAGGGTTTAGGGTTAAGGGTTTAGGGTAGGGTAAAGCTGGAACCCCAAGGACGTAAGCAGCTGAATTATGTTGAATTAGAATCTGGTACCTGTGAGTCTCCAAACCCTAAAACCCTGTACCCCATCCCCGACCGTTCCCACCCCTACCAAGTTGATGACTCTAATTTCTTGCCAGGCTTCTTCTGTGGGCTTTCCGGCGCTGTGTTTACATGCAGTCGATGCAGAAGAGCCCTTGGCTCAGCTCGATTCTTTCCATGTTGGGGTATATATACGGCGTTTCCAATATTGGAGGGTTTTCTGCTGGTGCGCAGCATAAGGAGCATAATACGTTGGGATATGCTACAGGTGGACCCCGTTTGGAATCAACAAGGTTTTGGTCTTTGTGCAGTGAGTTGTTACTTACTGCGGGCAAGGTCGCACCATGGGAGAGCAAGCTTGAAACATGACAGTGGAGGAATTAGATCAGAGATTCAAGTGAATGTGCACCCCACATGGGATTACGAAGGGAATGAGCCAACAGCAGCCTTGCGTGAAGCCTGCACATACTCAAAACTCTATCCCAACACAACATGTACCCCTTCTGTCATTGCTCCAAAATTTGGAGCTCATTCCCTCTCCCCCACGGTATTCTGTCTACTTCTGGATGGTTGTACACCCATGCTAAGGCTCAAATGGTGGCATGGGAACAAGTGTCACAACAATCTTGCACCACGATGCCCAGGTGCACTTCTGCGGCCCAGCTTGTCAGAAAGGAGGCAGGGCTGGGTTTTTCAGACACCTCCCCCTCCGTTCCCCTCATACCCTTCCTTCCCAACTCTAGACGTTACCTGAATATGATGTCACTTTTTGTTTTTCTAAGGCTGAACTTAAATTGTCTTTCAGGTACCAGGGCAGGTGGAGTACCACCCTCCTGCTCCTCCTCCTCCTCCTCCTCCTTGCCTTGCTCCACCCCGGTACGTTTCAGCCCAGAGCCAGTTGCAGGATGGACGCGTCATCGCAAGGAGTGCTTCCAGGCCCGCTGGTTTTTATTCAGCAAGCTTGGGCGCAATGTAGAGGTCATTCCCACAGGTGGTGCTCCGACACCTTGAGAGGATATTATTTGTAATTCAGTTCTTTAGGATTTGAGATGATTTGCAAAGGTGCTTGCAGGTTTGTAAGAGAGAAACGCACATGCTCTCCCGAACAACCAACGATCCTTCATTTGAGCACTGTACACGAGTGCGCTGCTTTCCTTTTTCAAGCATCGCCGCAGCATTCAGCTTCTTGACTGTTGTGATCAAGCACATGGCTGGGCAAGGTGGGTTGTTTTGCCTTGCAATTCCAATTCCCCAGTTTTTCGGTACTTGGACTCGTAGGGATACACCGCACTTGCTGAGACTAGCAACATGTATCTGTTTGATTGTGTTTTCCTAGCTTGGATGCCTTCCTGCAGGCTCGGAAATCTGGCATGAAACTGTTCGATGAATATTTATCTAATCCTGGGTATCTCAGTCTACAAATGCTATCAACTTCGGGCCCTGAAGTCTGAAGGCCTCTTTGAAGATGGCTCCTCCTCGTGCTGAATGGCTGGCCAGCAGTTTCGCTTGCCTTCTTCTCTACGGATTCTGGGGATTTCTGGGAAAGCTGGCGCTGGTGCGCGGTCTCTCAAGCTCACAGGAGGCTGGCCTTGAAAAGCTGGGATTCTTCCTTACCTTGCCTCTGATTCTCAAGCCTTCTGCTACTGATCCCAATGCGGGCCCCGGTCTCATGGAACGACCCAAGTTTGCCCTTCTCGCAGCATACATGAGTGGAGTAACTGCGGCCGCGGCTGACTTCTTCTACACCCGTGCGATGATGAAGGGTGACGGGGGAGCTGTGTCTGCAATCACGGCATCCTATCCGCCAGTGACCATGGTCTTATGTGCTACGTTTATGCGCGAGAAGGTTACAAGGAACAAGCTCATGGGATCCTTCTTCACGCTCCTGGGTGCCTTTTTCATGGCCCGCAGCTGAACAAAAGCTGAGGTTAGCTGAATGAGGAGCTAGGATTGGTCCGCCTTGGCCAGGGCCAATTTACATTACATGGAATGAGGGGTGCTTGGCTACCCCAACCCCTTTTCAACAACAACCCTATGCCTTTCATAGGAGCTCTTCTAGGGTCCTGAAACCCTAAACCCTAAACCCCTAAAAAAAAACATCGGGATTATGGGGCTGGGGTTCCCAAATTCCCTTCGTTCATACAATGATCTCTGATTCTGCGGTCCAAAGGGATGCAGACAAGAGGAGCGGTCAATTCAAATGGACCCCTGCTTTCCTTGTCAGGACCCTAAACCCTACATATAATATGGGGGCCTGAATACTTGCCAATATTATGGTTCCATATTCCTTGTATCATTATAGTATATGCTACCTCACATGGACCTCAAAATGATATTGGTAATTATTTGGGCCCCTGTAGTACCTACAGCTTAGCAGCAACTACCCCATCATTCATAGGCATAACCCATGGGAACTGTAGGTAATCAGATAAACCGTGCCCTAAACCCTAAACCCTAAACCCTGCGTGGCTGATAAGTTGAAGCTGAGGGATTTCTGAGCATTTTCCAGGATGTAGATTGCAGGGCATGGGGGTGGTTGTCAAAATTATGGTCCCTTTTTGGGTCCCTATTATAATACGGGGCCTAATACGGGGCCTAATTTAGGGGACCCCAAAAAGGGACCATAATTTTGACAATCCCCCATGGGGCTTTTTGTTTTATTCCTGTTATTATTGGTAATATTAATCTCGTTCGCATTTCTGCTATTGTTCTTACCACTATTATGCTTACCTGTACGTTTGTTGCGCTACCAGATTGATGTGTTTCAGAGCAACTGGGGCTGGGGATTCAGATGCCTGACTGGCACTCACTGAAAGTCCAGGTGCTGAACAATCAGAATGTGGCTTTCAGCGCGGTTTAGGGATTAAGGTTCACCTTAGACCCCAAAGACCTTCAATTTTAGGGCCCCGTCGTGTAAATCCCTATATGGTAGTTTCCCTAAATAGGGGAACCCCGATATAGACCCCAAAATACTAGAGTCCATATTATAGGGACCCCTCAAGTGGCGCCCAGAATTTCAGGAAACCCCTACATGAATCCTAAAACTGAAGGTGTTTTGGGGCTAGCGTAGGATGGACCGGGCGTCGAGCCGCAAGCTTGCAAATTACCCATGAACATTCAAGTACCTAGGGCCCGAGGTACAGAGGGGGTGTCGCCCCAAACCATCAGCGTCCAACTGCTGAACCCAAAGCATCCCAAGTGTCAGCGCACTACGTCTGGTTTTGCCATAACCATGTCCTGACGTATGCAGGACATCGGATCTTTTCGTGTAGTTTGATTCAGGACAGTGAGTGCGTAAGGCCCGGCGGGTTTGAACATCGTTTTGGGTCGCGAAGTTGAATCTACTTCCACGGCTTTTCGAGAGAAATCTCTACTTAGCTATTTCCATTAGAAACTGTAGATTCTTAATTGGGACTGCGTATGGGGCCTACCAGTCTAGCTGAGGCTATCTGAGAGCACTCAATTGCAAGAAGCATTCCGAACGCCGAGCTTAACCTTGGAAGGAGCCTGACCGGGGCGGAATCTAGCGAGATGACTGTTATGATAAACGGTGACCGCGATCGCGGTCGCTGTGAGCCCAATATCTCCAAGGACTTGCGTATAGGCGAGCGGCGAGTGAAGACTTACTTACCACAATTACCAAGTACTTATATGAACAACATATTTTGAATCTTAGTACCGGTGCTATCATTAATGCCCTTCCTTTGCGTTCCTCTCCGGCGCTGTGCTTAGCTTTGCAAGGTCCGTTTTCTAGATTCCTCACCAAACCCGCCAAACCCTGCAAAATCCCGAAAACGACAAGGGAATTTGGGTAGCTTCAACCCTAGAATAAGGACCCTGTACTACAGTAGTCATACAGTTGATACTAGGCATCCTGCTTGACCTTAGTATACTATAGTACCACCATTCCCAAGGTTTAGGGTATCTGGGTTTAGGGTTTAGGGTTGATTCTTGCAGGACTTTTAGTATCCACCGCAATTTAGCCATAGGGTCCATCCTGGGGTTGAGGAAATCCAAACCCCCTTGTCAGTAAAGCGGCAGGCGGGGGACACCAGTGGAGGAAGCTCCGGCAGCCCGAATCCCATGTTTAGGGTTTAGGGTTCAAGGTTTAGGGTTCAATGGTTTAGGGTTTACAGGGATTTAAGGTTAAGGTTTAGGGTTTAGGGGTTTAGGGTTCAAGGTTTAGGGGTTAGGGGTTAGAGGTCTCACAGTGACTGCTTGAGGGTTTATGGGTTTGGGGATTCTGCTTTAAGGGTAGTGCTCTAATTAACCCCTTGCTGAGGCAGGGCGCCTAAGGTACCTGATGCCAACTAGATCTGAATCACATTTGAGCGCGGGCTTCATTGAAACCCTGGTTTGGTGGTCTCGGAACTGGAAAAGTTCATGGGCCCGTATATGACAATGCACATGTACAGTTGGTACAGGGTTGGAACCAGAAAGTCTAGGGTTCATAGTCCCCCTTAAGTAGATAAAATATGGCTTTGTGTATATTAGAATAAGATCCCCATATATCCCATATTCTATATCCTTAAGGGGGCCTATAGGGTGTAGGGTTTAGCTAAGCCTTTAAGCCCTTGACTTCAAAGCTTGTCGGCCTTCAACCCAGCATTGCAATGTCCAAGCTCTCCCTTAACCGCAGAGCAGTAAACCCATCCCCAGTGTCCATCTCATGTTCCAGTTTCTTTGTCATGTAATTCTCTATTCAGGGGATATATATATATATATGTATGCATATGTATATACATATATATCGCCTACAATTTTCTAATGTTGGGAAACCCCCCGACTCCCTTCTCAAACCTTAGAGATTGGACCCTGCAGAATGCCTAAACCTTAAACCTTTAATAGTAATCTCTGTTTTCTTTTTCCACTACCCCTATCTAACCCCATAGAAGCCCAAACCCTGTGAGCCAAACCCTAAACCCTAAACCCCTAAACCCCTAAACCCCTCTTGTCGTCAAGGCTCGAGCCCTCGCGCTGCTGGAGGTAACAACGTGCTCCTGCAAGCGCTCACAGCATGGGGCTCGGAATGTTCATCTGAGCTATAGTCTAAACTCCTTAATGGGGGATATTTAGGGGGTTATACAGGGGAGTATTACAGGGGATACGCATCATTTTCTGGGTATTCAGGAGGTCCAGGTCAGGCGGAACAGTGTGCGCGCTGTGTGTATGCCCCTCTAGAGTTTGGAGCGTGCGCACTATTGCGTTGCAGTGGACTCACGGGTTGGAAGCCCTAGATCGGAAACCCTATGTTATGTGTACCATAGTTTAAACTCCTTAAAGGGGGGTTGTATATGGGATTATAATAGGGACTTTTATAGGGGATATTAAGGGGGATACTAGGAGTTTAGACTATAGCTCATGTAGCTCCTCACCCTCCTTAGTTCCCGAGTCTGCTAGGAGTTGGTATGTTTCTGAGGCCTCAGCGCTAAAGTCTCGACCTCCACATTGCGTGCGCGCGTGCGCCGGGTGAAAGCTTGCAGCCGTCAGGCGCTCATGGGTACGGTAGTTCCAAAATAATTTTCGCTGCCATGAGGAAGGTGGCGAGAACGACCCTTGTAAATTGCAGCGTGCAAATCTGAAATGAAAGATGTCCCATTTGACGGGAACCAGCGCAGCATGAACACAGTGGCCTACCCTTTTCACAGAGACCCCGGGTTTCAGATACGTGCAGGAAGATTAGCATTGAATGTTACACCTCTTGTTGAACTTGTATCGCTGCAAGTTCTGTGGACTGCAAAGCAAGCTGAAAGCCAACACTCCACGAAGTGTTTAGGGTGAAGGGGCACCTGTGACGAACGCACTGGCTTGCACCTCACAGGGTACCCTAAACCCTAAACCCCTGCATTTTGTGGAGGGCTTCTTGAGGCACCCCCGCGGGCAATTTAAGTCGTTCTGTAGCAGACGTGTCTTCAGCTAGGGTTTAGGTTTTTAGGGTTTAAGGGTTTGGGGGTTTAAGGTTTAAGGGTTTTAGGGTTCAGGGTTTAGGGTTTAGGGTTAAGCACCGGAAGCTCTAAGACTTCAATTTCCGCATCTTCAGCCCAAAACGTCATCCCAAAGTATTCCAGACCCTGTGCAAGGCCTGCCTTTGGATGATGCGAGTACACTCCCCAGTATCAAATTTCCAAGATTTGAAGTCTTCAAAGGGAAGACACTGAGCCCGCTGCTTTAGATCTCGTCCTTGATCCTATGTAGAGGTGTGACTAAGTAAGCCTGGCCATAAAGCCGTCCTCTCTGGCAATACACGTCTTAAGGATGTGACCTGAGTTTCACATCCACAGATTCAGGAGTCTCTCACAATGATCCTCTTGCATTCTCTTTATCCCTCGGACTCCTAAGACCAAGGAACCCTATCTCGTCACTGCATCGCACCTCACACCCTACACACGAAACCTTATACACCGCAGGTACCCAAACATCGGCGCCCTGCCCTCAGACCACCAGTGTTTGCAGCACGCTGTATGTTTCATTTTGTAAAGGTGAGTGGCACAGACTCTGCGTCCAGACTTTCAGAGCTTGATGCCTAGCAGAGTTGAACCTATCACCCAACTTGGCAAGATGTATCTTGTGACCTAGATGCATGAAGACCCGCGGATGAAGTAGCCATGGATACGGGAAGACAACTGCTATCCATGCTGTAGGCAGGTTGAGCAGGCTAAACGGGGCAAGAAGCACAGACTACTTGTAAGAGAGGGCTATGCATCTTGGGCACACCGACACCTGAGTTCTTAAACCCAGAACACCGAAATCCCCTACTAAATCTGAAATGAAGCTGAATCCTCAAATTCTCGTCCCTACCCTTAACTGTGGGTACAGAACCTGCTTCAAGCTCCCAAGCCCAGAAACCTTTCAAGTATTCCTGAAGCGGAAAGGACATGTTCAAGTTCGCAAATCTAAGCAGTTGCTCAATGTCAC